ACCCCTCTTAACAGATCACAATCTGGTACCGTTAAAAAAACCCTTCAACAAAAATGGCTATATACCGAAAACATATATTTAAAAAAATATATTTAAAATTTTCAACGACCCCTTTATCTAAGTTTATTTAAGAGAGGTAATTTTAATTTGTATAATTATAATATTAAATTTAATAAACCGTGCAAGAAACATTGCTATTATAGACATATTTAAAACATTGTTGCTATACTCATAAGTAACCTTATTTAGCATTGGCTGTTCCTTATATAGAGGGCCTTGAGAATTTGAAGTCTTTGTTTATTTTCATGGTGGAGTATACTTGTGTTGTCAATATTTTTCTGAATTATGAATGTGAACAAGGATATGTTTTAAATGTAGTGCAATATAGTGTAATGTAGTGTAAGTCTCCTTGATCGTGTTGTTGTCGTGTAACAGTTACATTACATTTTGTCGTAGCAATTCACCCCTGAAGATGATCTATTATGAAATTAGAAAGTACTTGGGAAAATAAAAATGAAAAGAAAAGAAAAAACCTATGGCGCCTTCGTTAATGAATTTAATATAAACATTGAGAAATCGATCAGAAAATTCTAGAAGATTAAAATAAAATAAACGGACATAATATGTTCAGATTATGCAACAAAACATACTTGAATGTAGATATGCTGCCTATATATATATATATATATATATATATATATATATATATATATATATATATATATATAGAAACAGACTGTCGCCTTTGGGTGTTGACTTCAATGACCACTTTTATATTTATATTCACTCTATCCCTGATATTGAGCACTTTAACCGATAAATAGAGCATATCTTAAAACTACATTTTATATATATATATATATATATATATATAAATATGATTCCAACGCGACATAAGGTTATATGTTTCAAAACAAAATATAAAACTTCAATATAACATTTGAATTAAATTGAATTAAAATACTAAAAACTGTTCCATCTTCAAGTTAGTACTTAAATTCAATTTAATTTAATTATATTGAAGTTTTCGGCTCTTGTTTTGAAACATGAGAACTCTTATGTAGCGTTGGAATCATATTTTAAATATATATATATATATATATATATATATATATATATATATATAAGATATAAATGTATTTACAACATTTTCGCTTTTTTTGACAGAGATTCTTCTCTTATATATATATATATATATATATATATATATATATATATATATATATATATATATAAAGACAGATAAGTAAACATTTAGTTTCGTTTGTTACTATATATATATCTATCTATCTATATATATATATATATATATATATATATATATATATATATATACTTGATAACAAAACTATATTTGAAATCTAAACAAGCTAATTACCCCTCATAATAAAGGTTAATAAACTTATTACAGCTAATAACACTGAAATCGGATTCATTAAACTCCACAAGATTGTCAGACATTTGTGGGAACGGGCTATCTATGTGGGAACGTCAAATACATAAACCTGATTCAATTTTGTTCACCACATAACTTATATAAATTCCTACTTGCTGCTCGGATATTAATTATCAAAAGTTACAAGCCAACTAATCCATCTGTACTTACCAAGTAAATATACTATTAATTCTACTCATGAATTTATTCGAATATTGAACCCAAATATAATAATTGCACCCTTGCTTCGTTGAATGTCGAAAGTCGCTTTACTAAGATCCGTGTCACATAAACTAGAGATATAATAATAATAATAATAATAATAATAATAATAATAATAATAATAATAAATGTATATAAATATGCTTCGTTCTCATATTCTAATATTAAATTATCAATTCTACATAAACTTTTATCATTTACCTTTCTGTGAACTTTTCGATAACATTTTTCCCAGAGTGATAATTTAGTTATGGGTTCACCACTCGGTCCTACTTCGTCTAATTTCTAAACGGGTCACTTACAATGATAAATATTTCAACAATTTTGACAAACATAGGTTATTGTTTGAGATATTAATGATATACATGTATTCATATTAGCGAAAAGCGTAAATGAATCAGAAAAAATAAAGAAACCTGTAAAGGAAGAACTGTTCTAGACTTTAATCATGAACTTAATAATAATAAACTTTAATAATAATAGTAAAATACCTTTAAACATTAATAATAAACTTTAACAATAATACACTTTAAACTTTAATAATAATAATAATAGAATACCTTTCCTTGAATATTTAGTAAACATTAATTGTTATAATTTTGCCACTTAAGCAAAAATTCTTGTTTATTTACTTCTTCTTCTTCTTCTTCTTCTTCTTAGTGGCGTGTCCCTTCAGAACGTAGATAATCATGGCTCTCCACAATTTCCCTTTCTTTGAACCTCTCAATAAATTTTGCCTTTTTTGTTATCTCTCCTAACCCTTGTTCCTCAATCCATTCACCCAACCTCGTAGGATTGTTTTTTCCTGTCCCTCTTTCTTTCAATCTGTCCTGTGAGTATCAAATTTCCCAAGCCCTCTTTCCTCATTATGTGTCCCGGAAATTTCAACTGACTGTTTCTGTTAATAAGTATAAGTGTCCTTTTTGCTTTCATTCATTCTAAAACTTTGTCGTTACTTATATCTTCGATCAATGGTATCCTTAGCATCCTTCTGTAGAGCCAGAATTTATTTTCCTTCAAGTCTCTTCTTCAGCTACGAGGAGATTGTCCAGCATTCACTGCCAGATACGAGGTCTGATATTACATAACAGTTCAGTACTCTTTTCTTCTTTCTGCTGCTTCAAGTCTCTTCTTCATCTGTGAGGAGATTGTCCAGCATTCACTGCAATAGAGGAGGACCGATATTGCATAACATACCACTACTCATTCCTTTATTTCTAACACAATTTTCCTGTTTCTTAATACTTTGCTTATCTTTTGGAAGGCATCTTTGTCTTTTCCAATGCTACTTCGGATTTCGGTGTCGCACTTTCTAGATATTTATGCGAGTCAAAATTAATGACATTGATCAAATATTTTTCATCCAATTAAAATCTAATATAATAGTAAAAAATATATTTGACAATGCTTCATCCAGTAAAAACTAAAGATGATAACAAATATTAGTCATAAATAAATAATAATGGCTGACAATGCTTCATCTTACACAAATGAAGATTAAATTAAGTATTAATTAAAAAAATAACAATGCTTAATTTCTCGGAAATTAAAGAAATTATTTAGTGCTGAAAATGCTGACTATTTGAGAGTTGTGTGTGTGAGTGTGTGTGTATGCGTGTCTCTGTGCGTGTGTGTGTGGTGTGTAAGAAAGAGTGAGAGAGAGAAAGGAAATAAAAAGAAACAGAAATAAGGCTATAGACATAAAGGAGGATGTACGTAAATAAGATTAAAAATATAAATTAATAGCAGGAAAACATGGTGAAGAGAAATGGTTCAAAGAGATTGATTTTCATCGAGATAGGTACACATTCAATGTATTTATCTGTTTTTATTTATTTCATATCTATCTATCTATCTATGTATTGATCGATCGATCTATTTCCTTCTATTCATATCTATCTATCTATCTATCTATCTATCTATCTATCTATCTATCTATCTGTTTGTCTGTCTGCCTGTCTGTCTATCTAAAAGTTGTGTGTGTGAGACCGTCAGCGAGAAAGAGAGAAACAAATAATATATATACATATGTTTATATATATATGTGTGTGTGTGTGTGTGTGTATATATATATATATATATGTGTGTGTGTGCATATATATATATATGTGTGTGTATGTGTGCGTGCATATATATATATATATATATATATATATATATATATATACACACACACACACACACATACATACATACCACTACAGAAAATGCGATACCTAAGATTTCAAATGATTTTTTTTAAATTAAAAATGTTTCTTGTAGCTTTTATTTTAGTTTTAATTTCAGTCTAATAGCTTAAATTTAATATTTTCAATGAGAAAATATAATTCACCGAAATTGCCTCATTTATGTATATATATACATATATATATGTGTGTGTGTGTGTGTGTGTGTGTGTGTGTGTGTGTGTGTGTGTGTGTGTGTGTGTGAAGTTAACACCGAATGTCGGTAGTAATTTTCATGCTTGAACGCAATCTTCAGACCATGAGGATATTTACATGATCTATCCCTGATATTGAACACGTCTAACCACTTAAAACTGTATTTTTATCGTATATATATATATATATATATATATATATATATATATATATATATATATAGCGTGCTACGAGGTTGGCATTTACTGTTGAAATAGCTAAACGTGATCGCCACTTCTACTGACACAGTTTCTTTTCTCGCACTTCCCGGCAGTGACATTCCCTTCCGTTTACTTGCTTCCCTAATAACTGCAGTCTTCAAAAATTTAACTGCAACGTCTGTCACCATTTTGTGTCTTCCGTTTATCTTTTTTTCTTTCTTCAGTCCTCCTCTTTTCTCTCACTGTCACTCCCTGTAAGCCCTCTGTGTACTAGTGGCATTCCCGTCTTGCTTGGGGGGAAATGATTAAAATAGAATAAAATAGAGAGATGGGGGGGGAGGAAGAGACAGACAGACAGACAGACGGACAGAGTTGAATTTTGACATGAAATTTTTACTGTATAATGTTCAGTCTGTGTGATCAAGGAAAAATGTTAGGTTAAATACTTTGACGAGAATAGAGATTCTGTTGAAAACTAGATACTTCTGGTGTAGAAATCGTTTGTTTTTGTTTTTTTTTACTTTTCTTTTTAATATTTGGACTACGGACTTCTTGATTTAGCTGCTTATGTACAAGACTAATGAACAAAGACAACGCAACGAACACAAATTTCAAACATTTAAAAATTTCAGGTGTACACGCCATCTTTTTCGATTTAATTTACCCTCCTTTCTCTTTTCGCTCTTTTTATCGTCTGCTATCTTCCAATTGATTTTTCTTTTTTTTTTTTTTTTTTTTTTTATGGCATTTATTTTTTCATGATTTCAGCTTTTTGGGTTTTTTTTTTTTCTTTTTGGAGTTTAACAATTTTCTTTCCGGAAAAAATAAAGAAAGAAAAACAAGCAAAGGAGAAAAATATAAAAAAAAGAAAAATTATTTGAAAAAAAAAAAATCATCCATTTGAGTCTTTAGTCTTTTTGAAAGCGCATCATCGTAAAAGAATAACTACTCATACTGTAACACACAAAGTGATCGGTGATATTCATAAGATTTTCTCACCGATTCAACTCGTGTTGACATTTTCAACGTTGTAAACGCACACCCGATTAATTTAAGACAGATTTTCTCTTCAACTAACCGCCAACATTCTCGTAATAGTTTCATCAATATTTCGTAATTCGATCTGTTGAACACTTTTCTTTACAATGACAAAATTATTCTTTTATTTTTCCTTTTTTTTATTAATCATTTTGTCGATACTGTGTCTGCGTATTTTTCCCCGAAACTATTAAAGTTTGGATTACTCTCCAATCATCTGACTATTTTCAATCTTAAAACACTACATATATTACAAGATGTAATTTTATTAGAACTGTCTGCAATTTCGAAAAGAGAACGCAAAGTGATTCGTGGCTTTCAGAAAAAAAAATATTATTTACAATATTAAGTTGTGGGACGCTGATTTATTTTATTTTTTTATTTACATATATTTCATTAAAAAAAAGTCACGTTTAGTTAAGCATATCTCACTCTAAAATGTCTTTTTTATACAAGCACTATACAGAATTTCCCAGAAAGAATTTTGCCGTTCTAATAGTGGCTTTCTGAAACGATAAAAAAGACCTATTTTGTGTGCTCAAAATGCATTTGATTTATTATATAAACATATCAATAAGGATCATATATCTTTGTCACCATATTTATTACAACGTTTCAACAGATGTACGCTCCGGCCTTCTTCAGGTGGTAAGAAAGTCGAACTGAACCCTTTATTTCGCTCACTGGGGTAGACTGTTCTAGTTCCACGTGCCATGTTTAATGGATGTCAGTTATCAGTTATCGCCTGTTAATTTCCCTCTCCTTGAGGACACATGGCACAGTGGATAAAGGCGTTGGTTAGATCCAGTGACAGGATCTAAAGAGAGTGAGTTCAATACCCGGTTAAGCCAGTGGGGAACTTACAGAGGAAAAATTAGCAGTAGATAACTGATAACTGACATCCATTAAACATGGCACATGGAACAAGAACAGTCTACCGCGGTGAGCGAAATAAAGGGTTCAGTTCGACATTCCAACCACCTGAAGAAGGCCAGAGCGTACAACAACCGAGACGTTGTAATAAATATGGCGACAAAGATGAGGAAAATAGTCCGAATAATGTAAATAATATATTAATAACATCTCAATAAACATGTCAATAATAACATATCAATAAGCATATCAATAATAAACATAATAATCCCTCAAAAAAATTAAAATTATAATAAATTTAATATAATAAAAATTATGAAAATAAAAGATATTAAAAATGATTTTAATGAATAAAATGAATTCTAGTATTAAATGAAGCCTAGAGCCACTTTTATAATATTCGTAATATTTACTGTATACCTACTTTTGCACAACCGTAGACGAAAATATGGATGAAATCTGACAGAATGATTAAATGAGGAACAGGGATGAATTTATAGATTTTACATTTTTCTTTAATCATTTAAATGTAATGTCACTAGATTGCAGCTAGCTAGATGCTTCCTCTGTAGCTAAATAGTATAGCACGTCAGGCTATATGATGGTTCCGTGTAGGATACTGGCTCGATTCCTGTCGGAGGACACTATATTTTCAGGCAGGTAAATGTTGTTAATACTTTTATTATAAACAGAGGATTTACTTAAATATTTGTATCTATAAAAATAACGTGTAAACATAAAAAAAACAGCTGAATTATTCAAATAAAGTTTTGTAAGCTTCTACTTTTAGTTGTTGCTATATTACAATATCAATCCCTCAAATGTTCAAACTTGTTGCCCCCATCATTCAGATTCCTCTTTAACTGCAAAATATTTATTATTATTGTTTGTTAAAAAATTAAAATTATAATAAATGTATTATAATAAAAATTATGAAAATAAAAAATATCAAAAATGATTTTACTGAATAAAATCAATTCTAGTATTAAATGAAGCTGAGAACCATTTTTATAATACTCGTAATACTGGTATAATACTGTTTATCTAATTTTGTAGCCGCCTGTATATATGTATGAGAGTGGGTTGGGGTCTCAACAATTTCTCATCTGGGGGTGGGGCAAAAATTCAATTTAGAAATAAATCACCAGACTACTCTCATAGGAGGATAAGATTATTTGGTTATAGAAGGAAAGTTGTGTATAGAACCGGCAACACTTTGTCGGAAGAACTCATAAGAGAGAAATAGTGCACAGTGGGACATAAGTCTCTAAACAGCTCTCCACAGGTTTTAATTCAGAGGTTTTCTTTCTACTTGACTGGCTACTACCCAAGACAAGAGAATTCAGTCCACCCTGTTATTTAAAAAAAAAAACACTCAAACCCTAGTAAAGTTTATCTTTTTGCTATCTTTCCTAATCTCCGTTCTGCTGACCATTCATACAAGCTCGTCAGGTAGGCTATTCATTACTTTCTTCTGTTCCTCTTATCTTCAATATGTCCTGTGAATGTCAAACTTTCCAAGCCCCCTTTCCTCATTATGTACCCTAGATATTTTAACTCTCTTTTTCTGATGTTAAGTATAAGTATCCATTTTGTTTTCATTTTCTCTAAAACTTTTCCTTAATTTTAATCAATGGAAATCTTTATTAATTGTATTTTTACAAGATATCATAAACTTTTTATGGTATCAAATCCTAAAATTATATTTTAATTCTTAATCTTTTTAATTAGCCTCAGTAATTATCTTAACCCAGGATCGGCAAACTGTAGCGATTTTCATGACTACACACATTACACCCTAGTTATTTTGAACAATCAGTTTACAGTTGCTATTTATTCACTGGGAGTCATGATTCAAATAGTCTTTGTGAATATATTTTTTTTAAAATGCTTGTCTTTTTTTCTAATTCAGTTTTCCATGACGATGCAAAAAAAATAAGCAGAAAATAATCATAAACATGAATTCAATGAACAATGGGGAAAAATTAAAAGGAGACTCGTTTAAACTCGTTCCCACCATTCAGATTCCTTTTTACCTGCAAAATATTTATTATTATTATTTTAAATCGAAATTATAATAAATGTATTATAATAAAAATTATGAAAATAAATAAAAAATATGATTTTAATGAATAAATTGAATTCTAGTATTAAATTAAGCCTAGAGCCACTTTTATAATACTCGTAATACTTACTGTATATCTACTTTTGCACAACCGTAGACGAAAATTATGGATGAAATCTGACAGAAAGATTAAATGAGGAACAGATAGGAAACGCTTTATAGATTTTACATTTTTCTTTAATCATTTAAATGTATTATCACTAGACCACAGCCAACCAGACGCTTCCTCTGTAGCTAAATGGTATAGCACGTCAGGCTACATGACGGTTCCGTGTATGATACAGGTTCGATTCCTGCCGGAGGACATATTTTCAGGTCGGATTTACTTAAATATTTATATCTATAAAAATAACGTATAAACAATATATATATATATATATATATATATATATATATATATATATATATATATATATATACGCACACACACAAAGAAGATGTCTGTCTGTGTGCGCTTGCTATTTATGAGAGTCAGCATTTCTCGACTAATTTCCATGAAATTATACACACAGGTTACAAGTTTACCATGTGAGTCAAGATCAACTTTTCAATCTCCAGGCCCCCAGGTTTGGCAGAGAAATTCATAATGGTTACAACTTTTGCAAAACCAAAGGCAAAAGTTACACGCGAACAAAGTTTTTTACTGAATGAGCTGATGTACTTTCTCTTATTTTCCCAGCTTTACAGTAAGCATGCGAAGGAGGAGGCGTTCAGGCGTTTGCACTTGAATCAAGCTCTGACGTTTCAACCCCGTTTTTCTTTCATTATTAAATTTTTGAACAATGCCATACTATTTGAAATTTATTACGGCCATAGGAAATTTACTAAATATCTAAAACATTGAAACAATTTAAGATATCAATAATAAACATATCAATCCGTCAATTGTTCAAACTGTTTGTCCCCGTCATTCACACATTCCTCTCTAACTGCAAAATATTTATTATTATTTGTTAAACAAATCAAAATTATAATAAATGTATTATAATAAAAATTATTAAAGTAAAAAATATTAAAAATGATTTTAATGAATAAAATGAATTCTAATATTAAATGAAGCCTGGAACCACTTTTATAATACTCGTAATACTTGCATAATACTTACTGTATACCTACTTTTGCAGCACCTTGTACATGATACGATGAGGGCTCCCAACGCTAAATGGAATGATTCTAACTTTAATTTAAACTGTTTTATCATCGGGTAGATGGAAATCGTTAGCCTGAGATAGCAGCAGTCCATCTAAGCGAGGCAAAACTCTGTTTTCAAACCACCGACGAAAAATATTTGGTAGCTGGAGCTCCTTAGCCGTAGTAAAGGCAGTTTTGGAAAAAGAAAATCTCTCATATTAAATAATATCGTGAGAATATAAATTCCAAATTGGTATCTGGTATTAGTCAACCTACTTTATGGAGGAGGAAAGACTTCTTCAAATTTTCTTGTGTCAAAGTTTTTCCAACCGTGGTGTCGGTATTGACACTAGGCATGCGATCAGAATTAGAATCATACAAGGGACATAAGTCCAACAGAACCGACGAAGTAAACCTGGACACTGCTGTCGAAAAGGACCTACAATCAGTTGTTAACTGGGGCAAGCAGTGACTTGTAAATGTTAACGCATCCAGAACAAAACTGCTTACATTTAATCACTATAGAGAACTTTTTTCCGTCTGCCAACATGATGGAAAGCAACACTCTATGCCTTCTTCGCTTTATGTTTTTCAC